AAAAAAAAAAAAAAAAAAAAAAAAAAAAAAAAAAAAAAAAAAGAGAGAGAAATTGAATTATATGTGATTCTCTAGAAATCTAAATGGAACTTAAAATTTATTACAAGTAGCATTTTTAAAATTACTTTTGTATTAAAATGAAGTACTCTAAAATTCAGAAAAGAGGTACATATGTAGTTAACAAGAACTCCAACAAAACCTGGGCATAGTGGTGCACACCTCTGATCCCAACACTTGGGAAGCTGAAGCAGGAGGCTTCCTGTGAGATCAAAGCCAGTCTGGGCTGCACAGTGAGTTGAAGGCCAGCCTGAAGTACATAGTGAGATCATATCTCAAAGAAAACAAAGCAAAACAAAACAAAAAAAGTACTCCAATAATAAAGAAAGGAAAAGCTGGCGGGCATGGTGTCTCATGCCTACAATCCCAACACTTGGAGGCTAAGGCAGGGGGATATCTCCAAGTTTGAGGCCAGCCTAGGCCACACAGTGAGTTCAAGGCCAGCTTGAACTACATAGCAAGACCCTGTCTCAAAAAGAAAAAAAAAAAAGTAAAAGAAAGGAAAAGGTAAATGTCTAAATGTAATAAAACTTTTAGCTTAAGCATAACCTGCCACAAACAGTTATTGCTAAAGAAGTATTACACAGTGGCAAAAGGAAAGTTCCAGAACTACACTGCCTTCATTTGGATGGTGGCACTATGACTTAATTGAGCAATTGATCATGACCTCCCTGTGCCTCAGTTTTCTTGTCTGTAAAATGGAGGTGCAAGCAGGCTGTGGGGGCATATACCTGAAATCCCAGCACTTGGGAGGCTGAGGCAGGAGGCTGAGACTGCACTGTCCATGCAGTTTTCAGCACATGCCTGGCATGCATGAGATCCTGGCTTGGGGATAGAGGGAGCTGGTGCCACTCGTCAAAGGATAAAATAACATGGCACTGAGAGCACAGCAAAATCTTCATGAAACATTTATCCTTCCACATTTAAAGATAGGCATGTGTGCATGGCAGTTTTTTCCACATCACCTAGGCTCCTCTGAGGGGAAGGGACAGGGGTCATTACCTTTGTGCCTTGCACATCTTAGTGCCCTAATACATGTTTGCCAAATAAAAATTCTTGTTAAAGCAATTTAAGGCAAAATTTAAGACTTTTTACCTGTGGAATGATGCCAGCCTGGCTTTCTTCCTGTTTACCCATCATTGTGTAAGATTTCCCAGCACCAGTCTGCCCGTAGGCAAAAATACAGACGTTATAGCCCTCAAAGGCATGTAGTAGCATTTCCTTCCCAATGTCATTGTACACACGGTTTTGAGATGCAAAGCAGGGATCTTCAGGCTGTAAAGATTAAAAGGAAAATACAGGGCATTCTATTCCTATTATTTCCTATACTTTTCGATTACTTCCATAATAAATAAAAATGTTTCAAATCAGAAGTCAACTAAACTGTACTGTACATTTTAAAAGTATCCCTTACAGATTTTTCACTACACATATACCACCACGGTGTGTGCACACGCCCTCACGTAAAGTCATCCATACAAAGAAACAGCTCTATCAAATCAGCTGGCATGACCATGCTTCACCTTCTACAGCCTTACGAATCACTCTTCTAGTCAGGGAGCTCCAACAAGAGCACAGTCTCTTTCTCTCTCCAAATATTCCAGTTCCTGCCACGGACCCTTCCCTTGGCAATTAGGCTTTGTCAACAGGTTAATACATCTTTTACATCTCAACACAAAAGAGGGAAATGTACACAAAGTGTACAACAAAGAGATGGATGACACAGAGGCAAATCTGCCAGAGGTCAGGGAGTCTGGGGCTCTGCACTGAGAAAGCGCCCTGGAGGAGCCCACAGCCTTCCTAGACACTGAGAGCTCCCATTTACGCAGGGACTGCAGGCTCTTCCAGAATGTTCAGAGGCCACATTCTCCTGTTACAATTCAAAAAATTAACAGTGGTTATCCCAATCTTCGTAGCCTTCCATTCTCTCAATTTTTAACTTAAAATTAATAATACACTTAGGTTTTTTAATTTGGTACTTCCTAAGATCTGTAAGTACAGCAATGAGATCCTAAGATATTTTTAAATAAATCCTCGAGATGTCTAATGAGACTAAATTAGGTTTACTATAGATATAGTTGAATAAAGATCACTTTTATATGTGTGTGTATGTTAAACATAAATTTTCCACCAACTAAAATATTTTATTAAGAATACTTTGTTCTGGGGCCAGGGATTTAGCTCAGTGGTTCCGCCACCTGCTTTGCAAATGCAAGGCCCTGAGTTCGATCCCCAGTACAAGAAAAAAAAAAGGAATACTTTATTGTGGCCAGGAGTGGAGCCACATGCCTGTAATTCCAGCACTTAGGGGAAGGCTGAGGCAAGAGGATTACCACAAGTTCAAGGCCAGCAGGGGATACAAAACCAGGCCCTGTCTCAATACAATAAGCAAAAATTTATTCTTTGGGTAATATTCACTGTATCAAAAAGTGAACTGATGCTAGCCCACATTTGCAAAGCATCAGCTGGACCTGTTCAGCCAGGGAAAAAGACAAAGAGAAAGAACAAGTGGAGGAGGAGACTCACCGAGGTGTGAGACCAGTAGGAGTAGTCGAAGCTGAAGGACTTTGGTGCTTCCTTTGGGTTCTTTGGGTTAATAATACCTAGAGAATGAAAATGTTTAATTTTGTTAAGTCCATCAGCTACAAGTTCTTTAATTAAACATGATGTCATACTGCATACTCAAAACATCCAATCAGGATATTCGTACCACTAAGTCTCAATAAATCAATGAAAAACATAAGTACTAGGCCAGGGATTTGGCTCAGTGGTACCACCTGCCTCACAAGCACAAGGTCCTGAGTTTGACTGCCAGTACAAAGGAACAAAAAACAAAAAAACCTAAGTATCACATTTTTAAGGGGAAATTTAAAATACATAGGGAGCTTGAAAAAAAAAAATCAGACCAACAACATTCATTGTGTGTTTCCAGGACTGAGAACAGAGCCTAGTATACACTGAAGTCTCAGTGAATATTCTGCAACCGAGTATTTATCTGCCCCAGGTATGGTTAACAGTCAAAATTTGGAAATGGACCATGTTACTATTTCAAGGCATTTCATAAGACTTGAAATATTTCAACATAACCAGTACTACATTAATCCAACCACAACTGGAAACAAATTCTTTCTAAAGATCTTGCTGTCTACTTCAGAAAAGCATTTGATAATGAAGTATCTGTTACAGTCTTATTTCTGAAATCCATAGCTGACAATAATACATAAGTCATTTCATACATACATGTATGTATATATATGTGTATGTATGTTCATACAGTGGAATCACAGGCTACATGTGGAGAATGTTACAAACAGCAGAGTTCCTTTTTGATTGAAGAGCATGAAGTCTCAGTGCTCATAATAAAAGCGATTTCTCCTGTAATCAATCCAACCACATTGCATTTCAGGGAACCACTGTGAATGCAAAAACTTGAACTCTTCCTTTCTCTCTAACACAATGCATTAGCTCCTCATATTTCATGTGGAACAGAATCTTTATAACATGCAGTCATGAAATCTCAAAGGGTCAATATATCTGAACCGATCCACTACTCTACAGCAAGGCCACATCCCAGGCGATCAGTGAGATCAGGATTAAAAAATAAATCTCTCTCAGGCAGCTGCTGCTCAGGACACAAATAGCAACAGTTGCTATGGTGCTTAATTCTCCCGCTAGATTCCACTGGATCAGGGCGCACACTTGCATTCCAACCTCAGATGCTGACAAGAGTATTAATAAGGCTCACACTGCACACAAGCATGTGACAAGGAGACACGGCTCTGGAAAGAACATCTCCAACACACAAATGGAAATCTAAGCAAAGAAGTGTACTTCTAACCAAAAGGTACAGCTCACAAGAGCTAAGTAACAGTGCCTGCTTCGGCAGCACACCCACTAAAATTGGAATGATACAGGAAGATTACCACAGCCCTGCGCAAGGATGATGAGCAAATTCCTGAAGTGTTCCATATGAGAAAGAGAAAGAAAGATTTTAGTATCAGTAACGGCGATGCTGTATTCAGGCAGCAGTGGCTCTGAACCAGAATACTTTCAGTTTATTAACCTTTTTAACCCCTCCAGCCACACACAGGCTAATGTTTTCCTTTCCCCACTGGACAGATGAAGAGAGGCTAAGTAACTCACCCACGGTTAGAGAGCTGGCGAGAGGCACATCCAGGATCTGTACCAGGAGTGTCAAGCTCTGGGACACACACTCTTAGCCAAGACATCATCGTTTAGTGCTCACTCTCTAACCCATGGCTGCCAAGGCAAAGAGCAGTGGCGTTTTATGCATATCTGATGCACATGTATGTGCATGTTTATGTGTATATGGCTGCCCTCCTAAAATTAAACCATAAGCATTGTTTAAAATTCTTTTTAGCCAGGCATGGTGGCACACACCTCTACTCTCAGCACTCAGGAGGCTGAGGCAGTAATACCACAAGTTTGAGGCCAGTTTATCAACACAGTAAATTTGAGGCTAGTAGAGAGTGAGACACATATTAAATTAAATATACAAAATATTTCTTGATAAAATTTTAAAACCCTAGAACTTGCAAATGAAAAGATTCTTCTGCAAATAAAATGTTGATGACAGCACTACTTATCAGAATCCTGTGAAGACCGAACATACTCCAGGCGTGGTGGTGCACATCTATAATCCCAGCACTCCAGAGGCTGAGGCAGGAGGATCGCTGTGAGTTCGAGGCCAGTCTGGACTACATAGTGAGTTTGAGATCAGCTTTAACTACATAGTGAGACTTTGTCTCCAAAAAACAAAAATAAATACAGAATATACTACTCTTACTTCTTACTGTTTTCAAATATGCCAAGGAATTTTTCTCCTTTCACTCAATTACGAAATAAGAAGTTTCCAGACTGGGGATTAAGCTCAGTGTTTCCGCTGCCTGCCCCGCAAGCGCAAGGTCCCAAGTTCAATCTGCGGTATCAATCAATCAATCAAAAAATAGACAGATACATAGTAGGAAACTTTAAAAAAGAAATAAGTTTCCAACCAGTAAAAGGCAGAGATAGATAATGTGTCCTAGAAAGAATACAGCACTTTGCAAAACGACCAGCATGAGTACCTGTAGCCTGACTGACATACCTTTTAATATTCTATGCATATGAAGAACAATGAACAAATACAATATCTAGGTGTTTTCTGTGACCCTTGGTATTGCTGTACTGAAGTGCTCTTTAAAACTGAGGCAATACTAGATCAGTGATACCAAATGTTTTAGAGACCAAGAGCCAAACCACAATCCAAAACCCACTTATTATCACAAAGTGTCAAAACTGCCATTAATCCTGAAGACTAAGGTTTTCATTTAGGAAAAACAACTTTACATGAACATCTTTCGTCTTAAAAGAAAAACACAATAACCTACATGCCACAGGTTTGCCACCACTGACCTAGACTTTACAGAATTACATAAGAAATCCACTACATGGGCCAGGGATTCAGCTCAGTGGTTCTGCCACCTGCCTTGCAAGCCCAAGGTCCCGAGTTTGATCCCCAGTCCAAAAAAAGAAAAAGAAAGAAAAGTACTACATGAATCTTAAATTTTTTTTTAAATAGCATTTTTATCTTGTTTTACACTCTTTCAATACTTGCTGGAATGAAAATGATGCCTCACGGTCTTTAAACCAAAGCATGGAAAGCCCACTAATTAAAAATGTAAACAACAGTGCAAAACAGGAATCTTAGTTTTTGGCAAGTCAAAGTAAAAAAATCACGTTCAGCAATCCCTTAATTAAACACAAAGACCCCGCCCTGAGGACGCTCTGCATCATCCTCTACCAAGTGGCAGGAGGATGAGCGCCCTCCATGTGGGGCACAATTTAAATCTGGCTGAACACTACCATTTTCCAGAAACAAAGGAGGACAATCAGAACAATGAATATCTTTGCAATACAAACATAACACATCAGTGGATTTTATCAACTTTCACAGAAAAAATAGAATTACTGAAAGACTGTAAAAACACAGTCGGGGTTTTTTTTTAATGTTGAGTCAGGATCTCATGAAATCAACAAACTACCCAGGCTACACTCAGACTCATAATCCTCTTGCCTCAGCCTCCCAGAATGCAGAAATTACAGCCATGCCTAGCTTAAGCAGTGGTTCTTGTATCAAAGTCAACTGAGCTTAAAATGAGAGTGTAGGGCTTCTAACGTATTTCTCAGGAAGCATGCATATTAGAGCAGGGTTACCGTAACCAACAAACAGTCAACATATAAGCCATATTTTCCCAAGGTAAAAGCTGTTCCAAATATAGCACCCATTCACGGGATGGACTATTGCCAGCATGCAGGCTTTATCTAGGACACATCACCATTTGTCCACAAGAAACAGATTCCAGTCATATTTTTTTGAGAGCTGGAATCAGAGCATAACTCTTTTAAGTTTGTACTACTTTCTCTCCTATAAAACCACCTTCTCATTGTACTTTTCACCTTCTCCATCTGAGGTCTCTTCTCTGGTCATGGTTTCCCTGGAAACACAGTACAGTATATTCTAGACCTGGAGCCTGCCCCTACAACCACTTTTTCATAATGCTCTTGGAGTCACCTGAACTTGCTTCTCTCACCCTCCACAGCTGATCTGTTCTTCAGCTTCCTTGAAAATATTTCCAGCATCCCACAGCATCTCATTACAATCCTGGTCCACACCAACCCTCTCTCCTCTGAACACCTGCAGTGTCTCCTAAGTGGAGTAGGAGGACGTGCATACACAGAAACCCCAACCACCACAGCAGGCTGAGACTTCAGCTTGCCCTCTAATACAATAGCTCCTAGGAGAACTGCATCTAGCAGGAGAAATCCAAGTCCTGGTTTGTGTGTTTTGAGAGATGGGAAGAGAGAAGAGTCCACTCCTTTATCTAAAGTGTTTTGTCTCTTGAACTTTCTTTTACAATTTGATCCAACATTCAATCATTAAAAGATAAGTTGAGGGCCAGGGATTTAGTTCCAGTCCCTGCCTTGCAAGTGCAAGGACCCAAGTTCGATAACTGGTACCAAAAAGAAAAGGTAAGTTGATCTTTAAAAAAAAAAATCTCTAGATGACATTTTCAAGGATCCTATCAATAGAGCAAGTAGAATACTGGAGAGGCTTTATTCTGACCCCACCCTATAATAGGTCCATCTATAACTTGGGCACATAACAAACACTGCAACCCTCAATTCTCTTTTATGTAAATGGGTGCGCTAATAATAGTGTCTGACTTCACAGAACTGTTATGAGGTTTAATGTCTAAGCCACACCAAATTCTACCTCAGGGTCTGCCACAAGGAAAATATTCAAAATAGGTCATTCAACAAATGTCCTGTGTATACCATATTCCACATCTGGAAGATATCTAGTGAAAACAAGCTCCTGCCCTCAGGGAGCTTGCATTCTAGTAAGTCAGATAATTAACTATTAGAGATAGTACAAAGTCAAGAAAAAAAAAAAAGCAATGTCAGGATATAAAAGATGACTGCCGGGCCGGGGATTTAGTGCAGTGGTTTTGCTGCCTGACTCGGAAGGTTATGAGGTTATGAGTTCGACCCCCCATACCTTAATTAATTAATTAATTAAAATAAATGATGACTGCCACCACTTAAAAGAGATGACATAAATGGGGACTTGAATTAAATTTAAAAAACAGCAAGACCACAGTGTAGCCAGAGGGTGAACAACGAGATGAACTCAGATAACTGGCCAGGGGATAACAAGGCCACTGGGGCCTTGTGTCCAAGGTGAAAATTTTTTTTGTTTTGTTTTGGAACTCGGGACCTTGCACTTCCGAGGCAGGCGGCAGCACCACTGACCTAAATCCCCGGCCAGAGGTGAAGCTTTTTAGTTTTGTTCTACAAACGGTAAGAAGCCAATAAAATATTTTAGGTAGAGGAGAGGTTTGATCTGATTTGTATTTCCAGAACATGGCCAGCTACTCTCTGACAAGGGCAGAGCAGAGAGACAGAAGGCTACTGTATGTAGTGCTGATACAGATGAGAATAAAACAGTAAGAAGTAACCAGATTTAGGGTAAATTGTGAAGGCAAAGATAACAGGACATACTGATGAGTTGCTGTTGAGAAAAGAGAAAAAACACAAGTAACTCCAGTATTTTTTTACCTGAGCAACTAAAATAATGGTAAGAATGAATGAAGGAGGAGCCACTCTGGGCAGGGAGGGACAGAAAACAACAGTTCTGTTTAGGACACACTGAGTAGGACACAGGCGTTAGGTCTTCCAGTCCAGTGGAGTTGGCTGGTGGGTGGGCAGGTCTAGAGTTCCACAGAGAGATCCAGACTGGAAAGACCAATCTGGATGTCATGATCCAATAACAAGGGACTGCGTGAAAACACCCACAGAGTTGGTCTTCTCTGGACAAAGAAATGAGGACAAAAGCCTGGCTGGGTAAGGAAGAACTGAAGATGGCCTGGACGGAAGGAAGGCAATCTGCAAAGTGGCCAGCACTAAGATCCAGGAGAAGAAATGGTTCAGGAGGCAGCCTCGCTATGTTCCCTGCCATTATTACCATGACTATTATCATAAGCACCTTCAGGACTCACTGCCCAAGGAGTGAGTCTCTGTTCAGGCTGTGATGTCATTTCCCCAACCCCTCCCTGCCTCGGTGCTCTTCTGTTTCTCAGCTCAAGTCACCACCCAAATCTTCTCTGGTTTCAAGGCTGCTCTTCTGAGTTCTTCATAAATCTGAAAGGGAGCTGCAGCATCTAAGACCTAAATACATATTTTCCCAGGTCCAAAGGGAAGATGATTCCTTGTTAATCCTTCCCATACGACTTTCACACCTTTTCCCCTTTATTCCTAACACTGTTGGCCACATTCATTATCTAGTAGAGCTAGAAAACAGCAGGACAGTGCCCTTGCTGTAGAGGCTGAGTGGAAGACCCTTACCCACAATAAACAAACAAGGATCATGCAGGGTATGATGGCACACAACTGTAATCCCAGCTACTCAGGAG